TTCTCAACAGAAACTATGCAGGCCAGAAGGGAGTGGCAAGAAATATTCAAAGTGATGAATAGCAAGAACCTACAACCAAGATTACTCTACCCAGCTAAGCTATCATTTAGAATTGAAGGTCAGATAGAGAGCTTTACAGATAAGAAAAAGCTAAAGGAGTTCATCACCACCAAACCAGTATTATATGAAATGCTGAAGGGTAATCGTTAAGAAGAGGAAGAAGAAAAAGGTAAAGATAAAAATTATGAACAACAAAGTGACAACAAATACATATCTATCAACAAGTGAGTGTAAAAATCAAGTGAATAAAAAAATCTGACGAACAGAATAAACTGGTGAATAGAATAGAATCAGGGGCATAGAAAGGTAGTGAACTGACAATTCTCAGGGGGGAAGGGGTGTAGGGGGTGCAGGAAGAGACTGGACAAAAATCGTACACCTATGGACAAGGACAGTGGGGTGGGGGGTAACTGCTCACCTGCCTGCCTGCCTGATAGCCCCGAACTATCTCTGCCTGCCTGCCTGATCACCCCTAAGTGCTCTCCCCTGCCGGCCTGATCGACCCTAACTGCCTTTGCCTCAGCCTCCACCACCGTGGCTTTGTCTGGAAGGACGTCCGGAAGACATCTGGTCTATCCAGTCTAATTAGCTTATTACCCTTCTATTAGTATAGATATAGTATGTACTACAGTTAATTTTATACAGTTATGATTTAGTACTTCATTTTTACATTTGTTTACATTTCTCTCAACTGTGAATGGTACCATTTACAATTGTGCTTGTGTGATTAAGTTTGGACAAATTTTGGCTTTTTATAATAGACTTCGTACAAGGGGCACAAAATTCATACAAGGGGCTTGGCTCTCGCATCCCCGGCTGCCTCGGCCAGCCCTTGCAGTCTCAGCCGGCCCTCTTCTGGAACGCTGTCCAGACAGTTGTTCTGCTGTTCGGTCTAATTAGCATATTAACTCTTTATTATACAGGATTTGTAAATATTTTATGGTAGTAAATGATAAAATAAACTATTATCTATATGTATTTTATGCATTCATGACATACCTAACTTTTTATTGAAGTTTTTGATATTTTCTAGGCTACACAGTTTGTCTACAAATTTTTTCAAATTATCTCAAATCTCCAAAAAAATTTAAATTGAGACCCCTAAAAATATCTACATGTCAGTGGACCTATGCGATTTAAACCTGTGTTGTTCAAAGGTCAACTGTATAAGCATATAGTTATATGATCACTTAAAAAAAAAAGAAAAGAAAAAGAAAACATCACTCTGGTACCAAAAACGGTTAAGGAAAACCAAAGAAAGGTTTTCCTAAATACACTCTGTCCACACAACAATCGGCATGAGAAAGAGGGAGCACCTTGCTCCTGGGAACAGCAGATGCAGTTTAATGTAAGGACCTGGAAGGGAAGCTGAGATTCGGGGAGACAGCTGGCTAGGTCCTACCTGGGCTCCACCTTCCAGGCTCAATCCCACCGAATGCTTGAAGGGCTCTAGGCTTTTCACTCAAAGGTGGGGCAGGGGGACACCTCGATTCTCTTGTTTTATAAACAGTCATCTCCCCTCTCTGATGCCACCACTACTTCCTTTCTTATCTCATGGTAGAACCACTTCATATTAAAGGAGCTCTCAGAGAGATATTTCAAATGTTGAAAGTGCAAAGGATAAAATTTTTTAAGCTTTTCCAAACTTAGAAAAAACGATGACAATTCACCAAGGCACGGAAAAGATGCTGGCTTTATATCCTAAGTTGTATGATGAGAAAAAGACAAACACTGT